GCGCCCCCCTCCCCCGAACTCTCCCCTCCCCCAGACCCGTGCTTCCCTCCGCCAGACCCCAAGTTGGCCCCCCGGCCCCCACCCCACGGCCCGTATTCTCATCACAAACTAGCCGCGTCATTACCTTGCATTACCTAATTTTCCTCCTATTGATCTCGAGTTCATCGCAGCCATATGACGCGACCTTAACTTGTCTACTGACTCATCATGAATTTATTCATCAAGACGACTTATTTTCTTGGCGATGTGATTAACTTTATTTATTAATCTATCTATTAATAATCAACTGAATTATTCTTAGTTTTGTTACTGCTGTAAGTGAACAATAATTTGTACTCTTGATATACATTGTAAGTACTCAATAATTTGAACATCTGAAATTACTTGTAATAAAATGTAGCAATCGTTCACACTTTATCAGTGGAGCGTAGTCTACACTCACAAAAATAAATGGGTCACTTGCTGGGCCAAATGCCTGGCAAATCCAGGGTCAAACTGTGTCAGGATGACCCAAACAAGGGAGAAAGTCCATCGCTTTTTGGACAAAGTCTCACACTTTATCTGCGTGAGCCGTGAAGTAACTTTAACGCCACGCTGCGAGGTATCCTTGAGTGATTAGCACGAGGTCGGCCGCAAGTTGGTTGTATGCTGGCCGTCTCTTGGCCGCAAGTTGGTTGTATTTTAGCTGTAATTTTACCGTAAGTTGGTTGCATGGTGGCCATGAGTTAGCCATAAGTTGACTGTATTTTTACCGTATGTTGGCCTAAGTTGTTTTTATTCGACCGAAAGTAGGCCTATGCTGGCCGAAATTTGATCGTAAATTGGCCGTATGTTGGGAGTAAGTTAGCCGTAGGCTGGGTGTATAATGGCCGTAAGTTAGCCATAAATTGGCCGTAAATTGGTCGGCCACAACGCTGGTCGCTCTCGCTCAACACTGCATTGAGCGCCAGGAGCAGGCGTCGCATGGACAAGAGTTTAGGCGGGAGTGAAGCTAGTTAATAGAATTTAGCTAATTGGCGGGACTTATTATTGATGTATTTAACCTATATACCGGAATATTTTTCATCATGTTATTTGGTAAAAGCTGAGCTGAATTGCAATTGCCATGACTCGAGCTGATGAACTTAAATAATTATTTATATATATTAATTACAAATTTATTTATACTAAAATATAATAATTAATATGTTTTAGCCAATAGACAAGAAGTTAATCAATATGCAAGACTGGCTCCTGGAATGGAAACATCGGAATGGAAACAAATTTTTGAATGGAAAGAACAAGAAAAATCCTGTTGCATGATGGCAGGGTTGGCTAAAACATCCAATTTTCGAGGTCGATGGGCGAGCTTTCATCATGCAAGAGCTAGCCAAGTATGTGGCGGACAGCCGAGCGGTGCATGGCGGACAGCCGAGCGGTGCTTGGCGGACAGCCGAGTGGTGCATGGCGGACAGCCGAGCGGTGCTTGGCGGACAGCCGAGTGGTGCATGGCGGACAGCCGAGCGGTGCTTGGCGGACAGCCGAGCGGTGCATGGCGGACAGCCGAGCGGTGCTTGGCGGACAGCCGAGCGGTGCATGGCGGACAGCCGAGCGGTGCATGGCGGACAGCCGAGCGGTGCATGGCGGACAGCCGAGCGGTGCTTGGCGGACAGCCGAGTGGTGCATGGCGGACAGCCGAGCGGTGCTTGGCGGACAGCCGAGTGGTGCATGGCGGACAGCCAAGCACACTATGTACAGTCGCAGGTCGTGCGTATGATGGACAGCTAAGCACACTATGTACAGTCGCAGGTCGTGCGTATGATGGACAGCTAAGCACACTATGTACAGTCGCAGGTCAAGGTGGCACAGGTGATAGGACTTCTGCTGCTGCCATAGTCTAAGCTGCTTACATTCTAATCATGCACCGCTCATCATGCAGTATCATCAATTCTCATCATACGTCGCCCATCATGCAGAATGTTATCAAGTACGTAATTCCTTTAAAGGAAGTCCAGATTGTTTAAGAAGAAACGTGCATTTTTCATTCATTTTTTCTGCGAAACAAATACATTTTTCATCTTGTCCAAAAATTTAGCGTGCAAAATATGTCGAATCTACAAACTTGTCATCGTAGCTTTTGGCACAGAATAAACGTTGTGTTGCCAAAATCATAAAGTGCATTCACGATATTTCAATCTGAAACGTTTATCGTCGTGAAAATTTTGAACTCACGATATAGCATTGATTCCAAAACGATGAAGCATAATGAATTTAATTTCATTATTTTGCATTCTAATTTTAACGGTCTTAACTTCGGTAACGGTCTTAAATTCTGTAACGGTCTTACATTCTGTAACGGTCTTAACTTCTGTAACAGTTTTAACTTCTGGAACGGTCTAAACTTCTGAAACAGTTTTAACTTCTGGAACGGTCTTAACTCCTGTAACGGTCTTAACTTCTGTAACGGTCTTAACTTCTGTAACGGTCTTAACTCCTGTAGTAACGGTCTTAACTTCTGTAACGGTCTTAACTTCTGTAACGGTCTTAACTT